GGGGCCAGGTGAGGGTGGCGGGGCCTGCGCGGGGGCCAGATGAGGGTGGCGAGCGGAAGAGACTTTACCTGAAGGACCTGCGTCCACTGGTGGGGATGCTCCGCCGACAGAGCACCGGGTGATGTCTCATGCGCGCTCTTCTATTCAACGAAAAGCAAAAGGCTTGTTTTGACGCAGCGTTTCCAGAAACTTGTTTCCACTGGCTCACGCGACAGCTACTGGTTTTCCCAAGGCCGTTATTACAGCCCCAACCTGCCCTTGTTTGCAGTCAGTAACCTCTGCGAGATGGCGACCTCCTGGAGGATAGAAACCTTGTTAACTGCTGTTAAGCCTGGCATCTAGCATGGTGCCCGACACGATAGACACATTTATTAATTGGTTGGAGGAATGGCATGGCGTGTTAGAGCATGAAACATAGTAGCACGTAACCAAAGTAAGAAAAATGTAGTGTTAAGACTTACAAAGAAAATTACTTTGGAGTGCAGGTGGGATGAGACTAATTTTGTCAGGGCATAGCAGCAAGGCTGTGCGCTTCCTCCCCAAGGTGAGGGGCGCGCTGCCTGCAGAGGTGTGGAGGTGCTGAAATGCGGGCAGACCCCTGTGAGCCTGGGTCGCAGAGCTGGGAGGGAACTGTGCTCAACAGGTTGAGGGGCTGAGGGAGGGTTGTGAATGCCATGGGTAATGTTATGCTTCCCTGGTGGAGTTGAAGATTATTTTTTTTAACCCTCACCCGAGGTTGTTTTTCCACTGATTTTTAGAGAGTGGAAGAGGGAAGGACAAATATCGATGTGAGAGAGACACATCGATTGGTTGCCTCCTGCACAAGCCCTGACCAAGGTCCAGACAAGGGAGGAGCCTGCAACTGAGGAGCGTGCCCTTGACTGGAATCGAACCCAGGACCTTCAGTCCGCAGGCCGATGCTCTATTCAGTGACCCAAACTGGCTAGGGCGAGTTGAAGATTTTTGAGGAGAGGAGTGATTAATGGCGTACGGTGGGCAGGGTGGATGAATGGGGAGGCAGCTATGGAGCCATGGCAGTGGTCGAAGTGAGAGGTCCCACCAGCTGGCCCGCACTGGCGACCAAGGGTTGTCACTGGCCACCGGAGGTGGAATTGATGCTTTAAATCCAGGTGTGACTAGATCGTGAGCTACGTGGGGTGGGGCAGGTGCCAAGGGCAGTGTAGATGTAGGGGCAAAGAAGGTTGGGCTTAGAGTCAACAAATGTTACATTCCGGCTACATGCGAGGTGTTTTCATAAATGTTAGGTCATTATAAGTCCCCTGCAGGGTCAGAACCATCACCCTCAGTTTCCAGAGAAGGAAACCCAGGCAGTGTTCACACTGAATGAATGGCAGAACTGGGATTGAAATGAGGTCTTCAGCAGGCTTCACGTTTCTTGTTCCAGTGAGAAAGAGGTTTTAGAGGCAATAGGACTTTAGGAACTTTTAAAAAATCCTCACCGAGGGTATGTTTTTATTGATTTTAGAGAGAGAGGAAGGTGGGGGAGGGGGGAAGAAAGAAGAAATGTTGATGGGAGAGAGAAACATCAATCCATTGCCTCTGGTACACCCCAAACTGGGACTGAACCTACAACCTAGGTATGTGCCCTGGTGGGAATCAAACCTACAACCTTGTTTAAAATGTTTTTTTATTGATTTCAGAGAGAGGAAGGGAGAGGGAGAGAGGGATAGTAACATTAATGATGAGAGAGAATCATGATCTCCTTCCTACTGTGCACCCTCTACTGGGGATCAAGCCTGCAACCCGGGCATGTGCCCTGGCCAGGAATCTAACTGTGACCTCCTGGTTTATAAGTTGAAGCCCAACCACTAAGCCACACCAGCTGGGCCAACCCTCAGCCTTTTGATGTATGCAACGATGCTCCAATCAACAGCCGTCTGGCCAGGGCAAGACTTCAGGAATTTTTGAGTGGTGAGAGCAGAGAGGCATGTGGTTGGCTGTGGGGAAAGATTTCCCTCAGCATTGTACCCGTGTATCAGTCAGGAGACAGAATTTGATAGAAAAAGTTGTTAGTTGCCCGGGCTGTGTGACTCAGTAGTTGAGTGTTGACTATGAACCAGGAGGTCACATTTCAAGCCCCGGTCAGGGCACATGCCTGGGTTGCGGGCTCAGTCCCCAGTAGGGGATGTGTATGAGGCAGCTGATCAATGATTCTCTCTCATCATTGATGTTTCTATCTATCTCTTGCTCTCTCTCTGAAATCAACATATGTAAACTAGATAAGAAGTTGTTAAGTAACCGAAAAGTTAAAAATGAACATGGTGGTGGCAGCTGCAGGAAACAGCTACCAGCCCTCTGGCTGAGGGAACAGAGGGATGAGGTTGGAATGGTTAAAATTTACAAGCTCAGAGGTGAGGCTTTGCAGAGCTGGAATTCCAGCCTCAGGAGTGGGCGTGGCCCCAGTTAGGGCAGGCGGGGTGTCTCTGAGCTTGGAGGGTCCTGAGGGCCTGGGAGTCAGACCTCTGTAGGTAGGGCAGGGTGATGAGGCTGGCTTTGCGAGTGTTGGCAAGCTGTAAGCCGGGTTCCTAGGCCCCTATAGGAAGGTTGCTCCTGCTTCCAGGGTGAAGTGTCGTTGGAAGGATGCCTCAGGAGTAAGGAGGAGCAAAGCTCTTCCCCCTCCATCCTTGCTGAGTCTAACCTGGCAGAGAAGAAGTGGGGGTTGCAGAGTCTCAGCCCCCCACACAAAGGGGAGGAGGGATGGGGGTAGTTTCAGCTGAGAGAAAGCTGACAACGGGATGCCCCAGGTGTCCAAGTCCTGAGTAATTGTTTCTTCTCCCGGCAGGCTGGCTTTGCCCCGCATGACCACTCCGGTCAGGAGAGAGAGATGGAGAAAGCCACGGATCGACTAGGCAAGTAGACGGCAGAGACTGGGGTGAATGTTGGGAGAGACTGGGGGAGCCACAGGACAGTCACCCTGTCTTGTTTACCTTCTCCTTCCAGCCGGCCCTCCTCTTGGCTGCCACGTCACCTTTTTTCTGCGGGTGTTTCCATAGTGCCCTGTTTGGAAGCCCCACTGGAGCTTTCTTAAGGGAAGTTCTGAACTTGTGTCCAAGCCCGTCCCTTCTACTGAGAAAGACAGCTTAGGGAAGCAAGGAGAATATAGGCTTTGGAGGTAAAATTGTTTCCACTTTCAGTATATTTTTACTGATTTCAGAGGTGAAGGGAGAGGGAGAGAGATAGAAACATCAGTGATGAGGGAGAATCATGGATGGCTGCCTCGTGCGCGCCCCCCCATTTGGGATCAAGCCGGCAATCCGGGTACGTACTCTGACCAGGAATCGAACCTCGACCTCCTGGTTCGTAGGTCAACGCTCAACCACTGAACCATGCAGGCTGAGCTCCTATTTTTGTTTTTAAAAACTCTCACAACAATCACATCTCCATTTTGCAAGTGAGGAAACTGAGGCACAGAGTTAAAAAAAAAATTGGTTCTGGTAAAAGACACAACATAAAATTTATCATTTAACAAATTTGAAACCTACCTTGGACAGGCATACCTCGGAGACGTTATGGGTTTAGTTCCAGACCATGGCAATAAAGCTACTATTGCAATAAAGCTAGTTGTAATCTTTGTGCTGATAGAGGGTTTTGCCTTCAATTTATTACAAAACACACCACATCTGTGAAGTGCAATAAAGCAAAATGCCATAAAATGAAGTATGCCAATACTTCATTACTTTTGATGGCTGAATAAATCCCCTCATTCGTATAAACCCAATTTTGCTTACCCATTCATCAGTTGATAGGCATTCGGGTGGTTTCCACCTCTTGGTGATTGTGAGTAGTCCTGCTGTGAACATTTTTGTACAAGTTTTGTTTGAACACCTGTTTTTAATTATTTTGGGTATCCATTGAGGAGTGGGTTGTATGTTAATTCTATATTTAAGCTATTGAGGGAATCAATTGAGTACATTTCAGCTCAGTAACACATTTAGTAATTGGCAGAACTGGGATTTGGACTCGGGCAGTTTACTTCAGAGCCCATAACCTGAAAGTACGACTTTATTGCTTATAGCTGTCATTATTGTGCAGTGTTAATCGGCTGATTCATTTGCTAGCTCTGACCTGGCATCACCATAGCCCTATGTGCTTGGAGGTTCATTATCCTTCCCAAACGTCCCTCCATTATGTTGAGACCTTTTGAAAATGTACCTTCCAGCCCTCTCAGTGTTGGGGGGAGGAGACGTGGTGGCGGTCCATTGTGACCAGATGGGTTCTGCCCTGCTGTCAGCCTTTATTCTCATCCCCCTTGTCCTGTGCTCACCTCTCACATGCTCTTTGAGGATGAAGGGAAGAGGAATAGAAGAGCAAAAACTCAATTCGCACCTGTATTGTGAAAGTTGATCATTTGTTTTAATGACATGTAAGTTACCTACAATGTAAATTGTGCCCGATTCCCTGTGTGAATTGCCAGACCAGGCAATTAATGACCTGGTTTAAGGCAAAACATCCTATTGTAAATAATTGATCAGCCCTACTTCTAAAAATGTCAATAGAACATTTTCTTTTCTTTTTTTTTTTAAGTGCTCAGGTGGCTAAAGAACTCTGTACACTTGTTTTACTGCTGCCTTCTTAGTAAGTCTGCCAAAAATTTCCAAGCACACGAGTAGGCGCTCTGGTTTGCCAGTTGTTTTAAGACCTTCCTTTTGTTGATTTCTTAGCCAGTGGAGCACAGAGCATCCCTAATGGTGGTCCGGCTGGTGATGAGGGCACCCATTCTGAAGAGGAAGGCTTTGCTATGGAGGATGAAGATTCTGATGGGGAACTGAATACCTGGGAGCTGCCAGAAGGGGTGTCCAGCCGTCTGCCTAGGGAACAGGCTGCTGATCTTTTTAATGAGGACTGGGACTTGGAGTTGAAAGCGGATCAAGGGAATCCGTATGGTAGGTGTGGAGTGTCTGGGGTCCTAGGCTAGGGTTTGAGACCCTCCGACCAGATTACCCTTAAAGGCAGGCAGAGTTTGGAAGGACTCACATTGGCTAGCTTAGCCTGATAACCTGTTACAGATCTGCAGTTTCTGTGACAGCTTCTTTTTCATATTGAAAAAAACAACAACAAAACACATGCAAATTTTACATTTGATTCCATAATGGTCATTTACCTTTAACATTGAAACAATGTTACTCTCTCCAAATATCCTAGTATGAACTGAGCACCTGCAGACAGAAGTGCCTTATTATCCATTTGCTTCCTCTGCACTGTCAAGAACTCTTAGCTGAACAGCACAACCATGGGTTGCCTCAGAAAGAACATGCTTGCAATTCCTCAGGAAAGGAGGACTCTGTGTGTGTTTAAACAGAGTGCAAGTATGGTTCTCCTAGACATTTCTTGGCTATTCTTTTTTCCTTCCCTTCTTCCTTTAATCCAGTGGTTCCCAAAATGGGGCACATGCCCCACAGGGGGGCAATTCAAGAATGAGTTATTAATGTAAATTTTTTTGCATTTCTTATGGTTATAGGGGGCCTCCTATACAGTATAGAAATATATATTTGACATTTATGCATTTCATTTTTTTGAAACTTTATTTGCCTTTTTTCATATCACTTCATATTATTTTTTTTAACAACTTAGTGATTTTTTTCCTCAGTACTTCAACTGTCCCTTTGTTCTTTTCTTAGTGATTTTTTCCTCAGTATTTCAACTGTCCCTTTGTTCTTTTATTTTTCTCTTTCATGGATGCCATGTTCTTGGGAAGCCTTTTTAGACCAAGTTATTATTTTGACTGTAATTAGCTGAAATAAGACTGTTGGTTTATTTGGGCAGCATAAAATAAACATGTTCACTCAGTGTGAGAAGGTGCGATCAGCCGCCTCCCGCACATCTCCCACTGGGGATGTGCCTGCAACCCAGGAACACGCCCCCGACCGGAATCGAACCCGGGACCCTTCAGTCTGCAGGCCGACGCTCCATCCACTGAGCCAAACCGGTTTCGGCTAATCTGTCTTTTAAAACTGCCTGCAGATGCTGATGACATCCAGGGCTGCATTTCTCAAGAGGTCAAACCTTGGGTGTGCTGTGCCCCGCAAGGAGACATGATCTATGACCCCAGTTGGCATCATCCACCTCCACTGATACCCCATTATTCCAAGATGGTCTTTGAAACTGGACAATTCGATGACGCTGAAGACTGAAGGTACAGCTTTTTGCCTGCCAAGTACGTGGGTCTTCAAGATGAAGGTCTTTCTTCTTTACTTTGAGGTGAGATGTCATATCTGAGGAGACATTCCCAGTGATTCCTGAGCCAGGCACACAGACTGGTGTTAAATAAGGTCCCACTGCCCCCTCGTTCTGTTGTTGTCGTTTTTCATGAGTGTGTTACCTCTTTAGATGTGTGTTTGTTTCTGCGTTAGGAGGAGGAGTTATGTTCTTTATAAATAAAGGTAGAAAAAAAAATCAATGTGCTTTTGTCTACTTTTCGCCCCTCGGAACCCCCCATTTAATTAGATACTTCTGAGAAAAGTCATATTCCTTCATGTAAAACCCCTGACTTACATTTAAGGATGGGAGTACTTGGAGCCTTAAAACTACTCTGTGAAAGAAAATACTCTTTCAGGTTTGCTTCTGTAGATCTGGCACATTGGCCAGGGATTGGAATCCAAGAAACATGGGTGACTTTGTGGCTGATTTCTTTTCCTGC